ATGCTAAATTATATCGAGATCGGTTCAGGTTTGGATACAGCTCCCATATATATCGTCGTCCGATTTTCCTTTAATGGTGCACAAAACGTTTAATTTTAACCCAATCGGGATGGAATTTTGCACTTTCGGCCAAATTGAGTATAGAAACAAGTATGTCAAATTTGATAAAAATCGGTTCAGATATAGCTATAGCTGCCATTTATATTGTTCATTCGATTTTTTATATATGTTCTCCACAGCCGTAGTATGCACTCCGTAACAACGATATTCGGGGAAATATATCAAACATAGTTCAGTAATACATTTGCCAATTTTTTTCGAGATCGGTTCAGATTTGGATATAGCTCTAATATATATCTTTATGCAATTTCAAGTTAGTTGTGCACCAAATGGGTAGTACAAGTCTGAATTGTGGTTGATGCTTCCATTTTAATATAGTCATTGCTATTCATTATTATAAAATCTTAAGCTTGACCCAGTCGCATATCTTAAAGGTTTATCTTAAATTTTCAACCGGGTAGGCTCTTAGGTATTCTGAAGCCCTTAACCACTTTTTTAGTCCAAATTAATTATACTTAAAGTTTTTTCTCTTTGTGAACGATAGAAATATTTGTCCTGTTCCAATTAAATGATTCCACGGATCACACCCTTCAATGCTCTCAATATATTTTGCGTTATAGGATCAGTTTAATTTGTGTGTAAATAGGAAGAACATATTAATTACACACCGAAATGAAATGGAAATTTAAATCTTTATGGATTGTGTCTTTACTAAAGCTGATTCAAGAAGCTAAGCTGTGTACCCATCAATTTATTTGAATTACCCTATCACCTTGGAGAATCGCCCTGTGATTTTACTGTTTTAAAAGCACAGGTTAGTTTGTCACTTAATTGAAAGATTTTCAAACTGTTCTCTCTTATAGTTAATTCTTCAACCAGTACTGACACAGGGTAATTCTTGAAATTACCAAGAATAGGGTGACTCAACTAACATGAGAAATTGTATTATCATATGTTGATATGCTATTCACCTCAAGATGTCGCCATGCAAAACAAAATGGTTTTATGGAAAGACAAATAAAAAGAAGTAAAAAAGTAGTAAGTTCGGTCGGTCCGAACTTTGAATACCCTCCACCAATTGGAAGAAATTTGAAAATTTTCAAAAAAATCAAGAAATTTTCAAAAAAAAAACCGTAAGAAAATTTTGTTAAAATCTTAAAAATACCGAATATAGCCGTTCTATTGGGGTCTATACGAAGACGAGGACCTGCATAGGCAACTTTTGTCATACGCCATTACAATATTCAAATACAAAATTCCAAAAAAAAAGATCCGGTGAATAATATTTCAGACAAATCCGTGAAAAAATGTGGCCGTTATATCGAGGCAATACGTAAACCTGAACCATAGACAATTTTCTGACACAGGTAGTAGTACCTATTAGGAACTTCAAATACGAAATTTCAAACAATTTCGGTGAATATTGTATCTAAAATCGTCTAATTGCCGAATATAGGGAGGTACTGATATATGGGGCCAATACGAAAACGTGTGCCTGCATACGCAGTTTTTTGCCATAGGCTGTAGTACCCATTACGAATTCTAAATAGGAAATTTGAAATAACTCCGGTGAGTAATGTCGCTATAATCGTCAAAATATCGAATATCGTGAGGTACCGTTGTATGTGGGCTATACGATATCGTGGACATACATGCACATTTCTCTTCCATGGGGTAAAGTGCTTGCTCATCAAAATACCGAATATGATCTGTCAGAAATTTAGCTTCCTATCCTTATTCGTTTTGTCTCTGGAGTGATTACAACAGACGTACGGGCAGAGCTAAATCGTCTTAGAATTATTCGCTGATCAAGAATATATGTACTTTGTTATGTCTAACATTATTATTTCGAAGCGTTACAAACGGAATGACGAACTTAATATACCCTCCATACTATGTATGGTGGAGGGTATAAAAATAATACAAAGACGTCTCGGTATTTTGTGCTTAACAGATTTCGTTCGTTTAATCACTAGCATTAATAATTCCGATTTTTATTTTGAACAATTTTTTGAAGCACAGTGTAGAATGTATATGAGCTCAAAAATCATCGAAATAACAATTGTAGACTCCATAAAGTGCATATATTCTTGACCAGCATAAATTATCTATTGTAATAAAATAATTGAGGTAGAGTTCGGAAATTCTTTTTTTTAAACATGGCCAAAATCGATTCACATTCCGATTTTGTTCAAATTTCCCTAAAATACCAGGAGCCCAGAATCAAATAGCAAGTAGCTTGTTAAAAAAACAAGTAAAAAAATTGGTCTGGCAACTCCGTGTTTAAAAATCAAAATTCAGAGCATACTTTCAGGCGCATATAATTTTTCGTATTTTACGGCATTGCCATTTCAGTATTTTGATCTGGCAATTCCCAAACATAATTGTCAAAATCCAAAGCATACTTTCAGGCGCAAATTAAATTTTGATTACATGGTGTTGCCAGACCAAAAATTTTTAGATTTTTTTATTTTTCGACAAATAGCCCTGCTATTGAATTCTGGGCGCCTGGTATTTTCGTGTATTTCAAGAAAACCATTTTTCAACTTAATCGTGACGTCATCAACAAATTTGCCTCGTATGTGTTTATCGAAGTACTTACCACCCTATTTCTCTCTACTTTCTTCATTTTAAATAAATAAAACTTTTATTATATTTTTTTTTATTTTATTTTTATTGAAAAATTTTAATAAAAAATTATAATAAACAATTATAATAAAATTAAAATAAGCCCTGGCCAAGCAGGCTTTTTTTATCAATATCAGGGGGACTGGGAAAATGATCGGTTTCTACGATTTTTTTTTTTTCATCTCTGAGAAATTAATGGGACCGTTTCCAAAACGGCTACTAAAAAAAACATCCTGAATCGTTGTCGCTACAAATCCTTTCTTGGCTTTGTTGATGTAATAACAATTCTATAATTCTAAAAATGATGAGCCTCCAGATGTTATTAAATTGAAGATATCCAAATATTCACCGCAGACCCCATTAAGCACATACATTCCTGACTGGTGGGGTCAAATCACCGTATTTGATATGAACATCCAGCTTGATATTTTGATGGTTTCAACCTCTATTTTCAAGCGACCTCTTCAAGCGTATTTTAGTACTTTTAATAAAATGTCACCTTTCGGAAACAGGTCACATATCCCAGCCGAAGTGGTAATTTGGTATTTTGAAATCTTAAAAGTAGAAATATCCTTGCAAAATGTATTTAATGTAGGATGATAATCTGACATATAGCAAATTTTACAGATCTAATAACAACTTTTAATACCCTCCGCCATAGTATGGGTGATATAACATTTTAGAAACCACAAAGTACATATATTCTTGATCAGCATAAAATTCTATGTCGATTTAGCGATGTTCGTCCGCCTGTGAAAATCACTCTAGCCTCCGAACGAAATGAAGTATGTTGATAAAATTTAGGTCAAATGTATATTATGTCCGCAGGTATTGAAAATGGGCCATGCAGGTCCCCGTTTTGGTATAGCCCCCATATAAATGTACCTCCGGATATTCGGTATTTTGATGATTTTAGCGACAATATTCACCGGAATTATTTCAAATTTGGTATATGAAGTTCATAATGGATACTACAGCCTATGACAGAAAATTATCCGTGCTGGTTCACGCCTTCGCATAGCCCCCATATAACGGCACCTCCCGATATTCGGTATTTTGATGATTTTAGCGACATTATTCAGTGGAATTATTTCAAATTCGGTATATGAAGTTCGCAATGGATACTACATGCTATGATTTTGGTATAGCCCCATGGTACCTACCTATATTCCGTATTTTGATCATTTTAACTACATTATTCACCGACTTTTTTTCAAGTTTCGCATTTGAGTATTGAAATGGCTTATGACAAAAGTATCCTATGCAGGTCCACGTCGTCGTATAGACACCAATATAATGGCTATATTCGGTATTTTTAAGATTTTAACTGAATTTTTAACGGATTTTTTATTTTTGAAATTACCAAATTCTTTCCAAATGGCGGAGGGTATTCAAAGTCCGGTCCGGCCGAAGTTTCAGCTTTTTTACTTGTTTTGAACTAAATATGCTATAATTCAAAAATCTCGAAGACTTGCTTTAAATCTAGTCTATGACTTTTTTTTCTTATTTTTTTGAACAATTTGCAATGTTTTTCATTAAAAAATTTTACCAAATGGCAGCACTTTCAAGCTAGTCTTATCTCTTGCTCATTATTTTTTAATGTCAATTTGCAATGTTTTTTTATTTAAAATAATTTTTATTAATTTTAATTTAGCATTACAACAGAGCTATTTGTATCTATTACTCTATTTCACATATCTTACAAAAACTAAGTGATGATTATTTAAAACATATTATAAAATTAAACGTATACACAGAAAAAATATTTTTTTTTTATTAAAATGGTAATTATCTTATATATAAAAATGTAAGATTTTATATTAAAACATAGGTTTTATATTGTAAAACAGAAAAACAGCTATTAAAACAAAATAAATATGTTTCAATACTGTAAAATAAAAAATGATAATGATAATATCCCTTTTGGCTGGGGGGAAAGGGGGGAAAATAAGCGGAACTAGAATAAAATAAAAGTGGGGTTATGAAAAAAAATAAAAAAAATTAAATTGGCATTAAATTTCCTATTTGACCAAAGATATTGATATTTATTTTTTTTTTAATTTTCCTTCTATTTGCTATTTGACAAAACATATAAACCCAATTTTTGGCAAATTTTTAAATAAAAATATTTAGAAAATTACAAATTATTTTCAATATTCAAGTTCCATCCAAGGTATATTTAATAAGGTATGAGTTAAAATAAGCTAATAATAATAATAAATTGTAAGGGCTGCACAAAATATTTCGAATTGGTTGTAAATAAATTAATTTATTAAATTTAAAGCTGTATAATTAAAAAATGCTAATTATTATTATTATTTTTTTTGAAAACCCGTTATAAACAGATGAATTGGTGTTCTAATTAAGCTATTTGTATAAAATCCGAAACATTTTGGAGTATATCCTAAGAATTTTCTTTACTAAATAATTTCTATAAATTATCCAATAATTGAATCTCCTGAATTGACAATTTATTTCTTTTAAGAACAATGTTATTTTAACTCATGCATATACCACAAAAATATACCTGGGTTATATTAATTCCCCTTAAATAAAAACATGTTCTATTTTATATATAAAAAATATTAAATTTTGGAAGCCTTAAATATGTGAAAAATAATATTTGGAAAATTAAGAAAAATGTATATTATAAAATAATTCTAACTAAAAAATAATAATGTCTTTCTATTAATGTGTAAATTATATTTCTTTAATTATTTGTAAAATCTAAAAAAGATTTGGGCAAGTTTGGGAATTTTATTAACATTTTGCATATTTTCTAAGGTGGGATTTCTCGAAAGACAGAGATTTTTTTAATATTTACTATGAATATGAATTAATTTGTTTATATAAGCAAATAATAAATGTACTGTGCATAATATAAGGATAGGAAATAAATTCAAAGTTCATATTAAGACTTCCCACGTTGGAATAATTTTAAATGCAGGTCGATCAAAGAAAATTCCAGAAATGGGGCAAAATATTTAGAAATTGTTGATGTACGTCGAAATAAATAAGAAAACCAATTATTTACGTGTTGATTTCAATCAAATTAATATAAAAAAATAAAATTTAATTGAAAAAAAATCTATAGGTGTTTGTTTTAATTTTTGATTTTTTTAATTGAATAAATATAAAATAAATGTTAAAACCACTCATAAAAAGGACTTTTTTCGCATTTCTTTTTTTCCACATACATGAACTGGCCTTGAGTTCTTCTCCAATATCGAGCCCTCATACTTAATGAAATCCGACCTTATCAAAATTATTCCAACCACGTAAATCAATCAAAATCAAATGCAAATTAACTTTACAAAATACATTGAAGATTATTTCCCACCAAGGTTATACTTTTCTTTTACAAAAGTAGATTCATTGAATTCAAACAATTTTGAACCCTTAAAACTTAAACAGCACAGTACATATACATAATATAGTAGCAATAATTGTGGCTAATAAATACATACACATACATACATTAATTAACTATAGTATACACATATTTTTGTTTAATTGTTTCATTAGAATAGAGCACCCTGCATGAATTACTATGTTCACTTACTCCATACCATCTAAAACTTTGCTAAACTATAATTAATTTGTTTGTTTGATGTATAATACATAAGAAATTAAAAGAAAATGGCAAAGAACAAAGAAAAAATACACGCTCTCAATATGACAAAAAAAATGAAACTTATCACTAATTTGTATTCACGGTACTGTTGTAGGGTTTAATTAATTTTTCAGTGGTACACCCTCCTCGTTGTGCACATCTGAAACTTTTTTGCGCTCTGGTGGATTATTCCAAGGTTGTAATTCGCCAGTGCCCAGAATTAGATAAACCACAGCACCCGAGATATAGGTAATGGCCAAGATCCAAAACACAATTTGCCATTGATGATAGCATTTCTAAAATGGATAATAAAATGAATTTTTTGTTTTTGTTCTATTTCTAGAATAGAGGAATATTTTTGTCTTACATCTTCATAGGTCAGAGCGCCAACCATCCATGTGGACAGGAAACCACCAAAGGAGGATAAGGTATTGGCCAAACCAAAAATGGTACCACTGAAGTTGGGTGCAATATCCAAACCATTACCCAAATAACCGGGCGTCACAGCACCATGAGCAAACAGAGCCAATGTGAAAATTGTCACCGACCATGCTGCCTCAGTACCCAAAAAGACCTGGGCAATCATCAACAGACCGGGAGTGGTGAGAGCTAAAAAGAGAAAAAATTTCAACAAAATTAAAAATAATGTGACATTTTTGGAAGGTTTTTTGGCGAAAATATGTTTAATGTGGAGAGTCGGGAAAATGTTTGGGACCTGAAGAAGAAGTGTCATCATTCAGGCTGGGGTATACAGAGTGAGATAAAAATCTGCAACAAAGTCCAACGCCATAGTTTTTACATTTATTTTAAATTTTATTGAATGGAAGCAAAAATGTCGAAAATGGCATCAAATTTTAGAATAAGTTTAGATTTGTTAGAATTGGTCACCTTTGGCACGAATTATGGCCTTCAAACGGCCAAATGAAACTGTCAAACGCTATCCGAATGTTGCTCTGAAGTATTTTGGGCCATACCCAGCGAAGCGCTTGTTTGAGGTGATCGACACTTTAGTATTTTTTTAGCACCAACCTTGCTTTTCAAAATACTCCAGACACAATAGTCCAACCGATTGGTATCCGGAGATTCAGGTGGCCATTGTACGCTGGAAATGAAGAGAGGAACCTCATTTTGTAACCATTCTTGGGTGGCGTGTGCTGAGTGCGATGGTGCTGAGTCCTGTTGGAATGTCCAAGGTCTGCGCGCAAGAAAAGATTGCGTGCCCAAGGCTTTAATACATCCTCCAGAATTTTTTTCGCGATAATATTCGGTATTTATTCTGATGCCACGGTCGATTAATACGAGTGGAGAGCGATCATCGGCTATTATAGCGGCCCACACCATCACCATGGCCGGCGCTTGAGTTCTGGTTGCCAACCGAAGGTGCATATTTACAGCAGACCTCTTTGGTAAGTAAACACGATCATTTTGCTTGTTTACAAACTGCTGGACAACGAATGTTTTCTCATTGGAGAAAACCAAATTCGGCAGTTCACCACTTTCGGCCAAGCGAAGCAACTCTTTAGGTCTTTCGAGTCTATTTTCTGTTCTGTTGCGGTGTAAGTTCTTGCAATTTTTGGAATTTCAATGGCTTTACCCCGAGCTCATTTTTCAATATTTGCCTAATGGAATAAAGAAATCACACTATCACGCTTGAATTCCATCACGAATAATGTTTTTTTGTGGAAAATTCTCACGAAAATGCTTTTGTACACTTGTAAATAACATAATGAGCTGTCACTGGAATAATTTTAACAGCTGTCGAAAGATTGGCTTAGAAATGACAGCAGTCTGAAGTTGGCTGCGGTTTTTTATCTCAACCTGTATTTTCATAGGCTGTCAGATTTTCCTCGTAAATATTTTTTGTGTAGCACAGAGTGTAATTTATAGAAATATTTTTTTTTTCAAAAATTATCATAACAGTTGATTTTATAGAGTACTTTCACTTAAAATAATTTTTAAAAAGCTTTTTTTTTTTCAAAAATTATCATAACAGTTGATTTTATAGAGTACTTTCACTTAAAATAATTTTTAAAAAGCTTTTTTTTTTTCAAAAATTATCATAACAGTTGATTTTATAGAGTACTTTCACTTAAAATAATTTTTAAAAAGCTTTTTGAATATTTTTTTCAAGAATTATCATCAACGTGGATTTTTTTTAATATTCTTTTTCAAGAATTATCATCAACGTGGATTTTTTTAAACATTATTTCAAGATCTCACAGAGGCCTGTATTTTTTAAAAATATTTATATTTTTTGTGGTATTTTTAAAAATATATATTTTTTCTTAATATTTGTTTCAAGACCTAACAGAGGCGTGGATTTTTTAAAAATATTTTTTCAACGACGGTCTTCTTCAAGGGCTATTATTAGCGTGGATTGTACAAAATAATTTTTTCAAGGACTATTTTAAACGAAGATTTTTTATACCCTACAACACTATGTGTTGGGGGTATTATAAGTTTGATTGGGCCAAAAATTATGTAACACCTCGAAATATTGGTTTCCCATATAGGAAAGTATATATGGATCTTCCTAGCTCGCCGAGCTGAGTCGATCTAGCTATGTATGTCCGTCCGTCCGTCTGTCCGTCTGTCCGTCTGTCCATGTTAATTTGTAATCACTCTACAGATCGCAATTATGGCCCGATCTTCACGAAATTTAGAATGTAGGTGGGGCTTGGGCCAGAATAGAACCCTATTGCTTTTGAGATGATTGCCAAATGTTTAGGGGTTGAAATGGACCAATTACTGAAAAAATGTCGGATTTTGCAGTAGCTATACAGGTCGCAATTATAGACCAATGGACGCGAAATTTCGCATGTAGATAGAGTTTAGGGCGGGGAAGAAGCCTACTAATTTGGGTGATAATCGGATAATATTTAGCGGGTAAAATATAGGTAGTAGGTTAGGATAGTATAGGTAGTAGTAGTTAGGATATCAGGATATCATATACAGATCTCATTTATGGCCCGATCCTTACGAAATTTTGCATGGTGATAAGATGAGGGTCAGAATAGAAGCCTACTCTTTTTGGAGATGATCGCAATATATTTAGGGGTTGAAATGGACCAAAAAACTGCAAAATAGTCAGCAGGTCGTAATTATCGCCCGATCCTCACGCACATTTGAATGGGGGTTACCGGACATTGCAAAAGCCAAGCAGTTTGGGATGGCCACCCAAAAATATTCAATGTGTGAAATAGTTTGCCAACTTTTGTAGACAAAATACGAAAATGTCCATTCCAGTGACTTTTTGGAGAATTCACAAATACAGGAAAGACGCACTTCTGAATATTTCGTTAACGCTGATTTCGTTGAAGAATATAGTCAAATGTCTGTATCTCATATAGATGCGTTTTAGTCAAAAACCAATAATAAAAGTTAATCTTTTGCCACTTCTGAGAGATTATAAGTCTTTGGGAAATATTGGTTCCAGATCTAGGAAGACCATTTAAGTGCAACATCTACCAATAAATTGGAAATGAGCAAATTAGTTTAAGTTGCTATTATTCGAAAGTTATAGAACGAAACCTGATGGTTTTCTTTTATTATTTGTCACAATATCTTGTGGAATTCTTTCGAGTATCTCGCCTATATAAACTGTATCGTTTATTATAGTGTTGTAGGGTATTCAACGGTCGGCCCCGCTCGACTGTAGCCTTTGCTTACTTGTTATAACATAAATATGTTAAATATGCCTTCTCCAAAGTTTGCTTCAATAATACGAATATTTGTATACCCTTCACCATAGTATGGAGGGTATATTACGTTTGTAACACCTCGAAATATACATTTAAGACCACAGTATATATATATTCCTGATATTCAGCATAAAATTCTATGTCGATTTAGCGATGCCCGTCCGTCTGTGGAAATTACTCTAGCTTCCGAACGAAATGAAGTAATGTATGCAGGACTTTTGGTATTTAAAAATATAATGGTATCTCCCTATTTTCGGTATTTTGATGATTTAAGCGACATTATTCACCGGAAATGTTTCAAATTTGATACTACAACCTATGACAGGAGATTATCTATGTAGATGCACGTTTTGGTATAGCCCTCATATAATGACACCTCCCTACATTCGGTATTTTAATGATTTTAGCTTTAAAATATTGTAATGGCTTATGACAGAAGTTGCCTATGCTGGTCCACGTCGTCGTATAGACCCCCATATAACGGCTACATTCCGTATTTTTAAGATTTTAACAGAATTGTTAACGGATTTTATTTATTTAATTTTTTTTATTTATTTTTTTTTTTTTTTGATAATTTTCAAATTCGTTCCAAATGGTGGTGGAATTTCAAAAAAAAAAAACGTTATCAGATAATCTTTCCTAATTATACCCTACACCACAAGGTAGTCAGGGTATTATGTCTTTGAGCATTTGTTTGCAACAGGCAAAAGGAGGATCTGCATAGAATCACGTTCTTAGTCGATTAATGCATTTCCGTCCGTCTGTCCATGTATTCTTGTAAACAAAGTACAGGTCGAATTTACTACCCGATCCACTTGAAATTTTGCACAAATCATTTAGAGATAGTCCTTCAAAATTTAGATATAGCTCCCATTTTTTTATTGTGTAATATCAGCCCAAATATTGTGCACATACGACCAAATTAGACCTGAAAATAAGTATATCAAATTTGATTGAAATCGGTTCAGATAAAGCTGTAGCTCCCACGTATATTACTCATCCGATTTGTTTAATTTTTGTCGTCAGAAGCCGTAATATGCACTCTGCAACAACGATATTCGGGCCAGCTCATAAATACCTATGCTAAATTATATCGAGATCGGTTCAGGTTTGGATACAGCTCCCATATATATCGTCGTCCGATTTTCCTTTAATGGTGCACAAAACGTTTAATTTTAACCCAATCGGAATGGAATTTTGCACTTTCGGCCAAATTGAGTATAGAAACAAGTATGTCAAATTTGATAAAAATCGGTTCAGATATAGCTATAGCTGCCATTTATATTGTTCATTCGATTTTTTATATATGTTCTCCACAGCCGTAGTATGCACTCCGTAACAACGATATTCGGGGAAATATTTCAAACATAGTTCAGTAATACATTTGCCAATTTTTTTCGAGATCGGTTCAGATTTGGATATAGCTCTAATATATATCTTTATGCAATTTCAAGTTAGTTGTGCACCAAATGGGTAGTACAAGTCTGAATTGTGGTTGATGCTTCCATTTTAATATAGTCATTGCTATTCATTATTATAAAATCTTAAGCTTGACCCAGTCGCATATTTTAAAGGTTTATCTTAAATTTTCAACCGGGTAGGCTCTTAGGTATTCTGAAGCCCTTAACCACTTTTTTAGACCAAATTAATTATACTTAAAGTTTTTTCTCTTTGTGAACGATAGAAATATTTGTCCTGTTCCAATTAAATGATTCCACGGATCACACCCTTCAATGCTCTCAATATATTTTGCGTATAGGATCAGTTTAATTTGTGTGTAAATAGGAAGAACATATTAATTACACACCGAAATGAAATGGAAATTTAAATCTTTATGGATTGTGTCTTTACTAAAGCTGATTCAAGAAGCTAAGCTGTGTACCCATCAATTTATTTGAATTACCCTATCACCTTGGAGAATCGCCCTGTGATTTTACTGTTTTAAAAGCACAGGTTAGTTTGTCACTTAATTGAAAGATTTTCAAACTGTTCTCTCTTATAGTTAATTCTTCAACCAGTACTGACACAGGGTAATTCTTGAAATTAC